GGCTGTGACATTTCCAAACGCTCAATCCACCAAGGAGGAACAGCGGAATGAAACAAACTCGGAACAGTCCAACAGTCAGAACGAAGCCAAAGCGACACTTCTGCTTCTGAATGTGAAAATATCTGTAATGGCGGTCCTAACGTTTTTGCAACCAGCAGTTTGATAACTGATTCAGTGCGATCCAGACCAAAACTAGGTACTATACTCCGATGCTATTCAAAAATCGCAGACATCTAAGAAGACTGACGTATTGAGTCAAACCAATAACCAGTGGAAACAAAAGATCATAATCGGTACAAGTGAAATTTAAAACAAACTGAAATCAGCCTCTAAACACGCACACTTTTTTGTTTTAGGAGTTCCGCCTGACACGTGTGACGAGGTTCTGTCCTTCCTGAACTCTAAAGGCATAGCAGACTGCATAAAAACTCGTTTTCGACCTACAAGTCTTTTAAAGTAGGTGTTTATAGTGAAACAGAAAATCTGATTCTGGTGTGGCCTAGTGGTGTCTTAGTTAGGTATTTCCTACCCTCCGGCCGTTTTCGGAATCAAAACCAAAATCAGAGGTATTTTTTAGGCAGAACTGTATACAGGACCCTAAAGGCCTAGGCCAAACCTATGTAGACAGTGACCACAGGCCTAACAAACAGCTAAACCAAGAGACTACGGATGTAGCTGTGTTAAATGTGCAGTGTTTTAGAAGAGTCTTCTTCACCCCTGCGAAAAACACTAAAAACATGCCTCGCTCCTGATGGAATAAGTAAAGATCCAATGTTAAAACTTTTTTCCCTACAGATAAAGGTTGGTTCTAGAGCCCTCATTCCTTATAATAATTTGTATAAGTACCAAAAAATCTTAAGAGTAGGTAACGTAAATTGAGTTACTTTTAAACATTGATAAAACAATGTTTTTATTTCATTTTCAATTTTTCGAGGTATAAGGGCCGTAGTATAACTATTCAACTACATTGTTACCAAGTTTCAACAAAATCTGTTGGAAAACAGCGTTCGAAACGGGAGACGAAATTAAAATGTTTTGTCCCAAACGCCGGTCGGCCGAAGGGAGGCTACTGCGCTACTAGCCTTTTACAAAATTTGGCTCAAGACGGCAGATGAGTCACCGAAGCGTCGCAACCTGTCGCTGTCCACAGGACTCTGATCAACAACTAACTGCTATATTACATTTTATGCAGCTTGGTACAACAAATGGGCAAACTCTGTAGAGGCAAGGCAATTTTGGCGATTTTGCAGACATATTATCGAAAATTCATAAGAACTAAACCAACAGAGCAAAACAATTGAACCGTATACTTGAACTGTTCGTAATGACATAAAGAATTTAAAATTTGCAACCGACTAAAATATTCAGAACAGTTTTGTACTGACATTTGAAAGAAAAAATATTTTTTTGAAATTTTGATTAAAGTTAAACTTTTGCATTATCCAAAACATTCCCTATGTGAAATTCAAGACATACAAAATGTTTGGAATGAATTTCCCTAAATATAAATGTAAATAGAAATAGAAATGTAGAAATGTCCTGGCTCTGGATTTTCTCATGTTAACCTTATGAGTATTCATATTTAAGGGAATTAAAGAATTTTTTAGGCCTTTCAACTGCACAAGTTGGTTCTATGATATTAAATAGCATTAAAATTTATACGGCTTACCAACAGGGTGCAGCACTATTATGTTTTTTGCATTTATTATAACAGCTAATTTGAACCAACTAGCAACAAAAAGTTGTGGTACACAATGAGAACTTTACTTTTTACATGGTTTAGGTGCAGTGGTAGAACATTTGGTCTATGGTAGATGAGTGCTACACTATAGGATACCGTATAAATCAAAAGACCAAATTTCCTTAAACCGTGTCCTCTCCCATAACTGCAATAAGCAGTTTTATACTTCTATGCCAACACCGTACGAAGGACGAGTACTCTGCTAGTGTTTTATAAGAAAGTAAGCGGGCAGCTGATTTTGCGGCCCTAGGGATATAAAACCTGCTTGGTCCCCAAATGACGATGACAGCTGGCATGTCCAGTAAAACGTAATTTTCAGCCACCAGTTAACGTATGTAAAACAGCTAAAAACATCATAGTGTGGTGAAAAATATTTTTAGCTCCTCTATAACAATTAATAAAAAAGTCGAAATGTAAATTATTAACGTGACTTTGAAAATTCATAGAATGTAAACCAAACGTCAGAACCTAATCAAAATTTCATACAAAATAGATACATACATAATAAATTAATTTGTATGTTTTCAGAATTTTTGATTCGTTTAAAAGTTTTTGTTGTTAATTATGTTAATTGTATTTTTCTAAACAACGGCAAACGCTAGAAAAAATGTAAAAGCTAGTTTTGAAGGTCATTGTATTTATGGATATATCCATAATGCCAAGGCATAATGTTACTCATATTATTGATATTAACAAACATTTAATTAGTTGCTCTCGCCACAAGGGCTCCTCACAGCCAGTGATGTAAGATGGATAGCGCTAGGTTCACAACGATATGGTAGGCATACGGTTAAGTATCGATCGTCGTAGTATGAAAAGAACTACTATCGAATATCGTATATCGATTGGCTTCCATAGCGCCAACCAACCAACCAAAACAAAAACAAACAAGTTTAGCTGCTAACTCGTGTTTTCCAAATTTTATTTTATTTATATAAATGACTAGCTGTGTACCCGTTCTACGCACGGGGATCTTATAATATTCAGTTGAAACCTTCTTATATAAAGAACAGCAGTTGGTTTGCATATTTTAAGATATGCTGGCCAAACTATTATACATAGCTTCATTTTATGTTGTTTTTTGTTGTTCCGGATCGGTATGACAATCAATAAAAGGTTAAATTACCTCTGTGTCTGCCGGTCGATCCTATAACGGTAGGCTTACTTTTATTTTTACTATCTGATCTCGTTTGCATGGCTCAATCACGTCCTGGTTGAAGTTCGTTCGCTACGCTCACTCACCTGTATATTGGAGCTCGTTCGCTGCGCTCACTTTCCTTCAGGTTAGCTCGTTCGCTACGCTCACTTGCCTTCAGGTTAGCTCGTTCGCTACGCTCACTCGCCTCCAGGTTGCAAATTAGCTGTTGTCATAAATGTAAAAGAAATAATAGTGCTAGTGCTGCACCCTGTTGGTAATCCTTGTAACTTTAATGCTATTGAACATCACAGAACAGAACCAACTTGTTTAATTGAAACAGCTGTTAAGATTCAATAATTTCATTTCTCATAAGGTTAACATGGGCTTCCAGAAATTCCACGTCAAAAATCGACAAAAACTTGATTTTCAAGGGTTTACTGTTAAATATCTAACTGTCTCATATTCGATGAAATACGTCTAAAACCATCTCATATATGTATAGTATTTGGAAAATAAGTTTCAGGCGGGACAGTGCTATAGTTATTGAGGAGTAGTTGTAATAAAGTGCGTATTTTAGCGTTACCAAGAGAATGACAGATAGACAGACAGACAGACAGACAGACAGACAGACAGAAATTGAGATAAGGTTTGATTCGGTTTCTCTGACCTATGAAATGTAAAAATAACCAAAAAGTTCATTATTCTAAGCAATGTACAGACAAAACTCTAATTTTATTTATATAGATTATTGTTTAATGTAAAACAGATTGTAAATAACACTTTGTTAAAAAAAAAACCAAACCAACCAACACCGACAGACAGAAGAGAGAAGACAGAGACAACAAACACTAGCCTAAAAGAAAAGGAAAATATTTGATTTAATTAGGTTATTTAATTTATTCCAACTTTGTTCCTTTTGATCAGTTTCATGGTGCATTATTATGGAGGAAATATGCAAAGGACATCTAAACGCTTTTAAAAGTAAGGGGGGCGGTAATTTATCAGGCGTTAATTGCGTAAGTTACTGGAATAATAATTTTAAAATTCCTCAGTAATTTTAAGTTCTTTTAGTTCTCATCATACTGGTTATCAGCCTTACTGTAATTGGATAATAATAATGTTCATTGGCAAATTTTATGCCAGGTTCAGATATTATGTGTTGTACTTATTTATTTGCATTCACTCTCACTGTAATATTGTGAATTAAGTTATGGCCTTCCATCGTCAAGGCCACATTATGAAGTTTGACGACAGACATAGGAGAGGAGCAGCTGCAGCAGAAGGCACCAAGGCAATTAATAGTTTACTTCCACCATGAGACAGCCTGTGAGCCAGAGCCGATACTAAAATGTCGATGTCTGTCATCCGGTAGAAAACAAGCTCGATATTTAACCGAATGCCTACCATATCGTTGTGAACCCAGCGCTATCCATGTAAGATCGATATGTTCTGTGCTCGTACTGCTCGATGTCCAAGGGTAGATAAGTTTGCCGCTGCGCGTGCGTAGGTGCGGAGTCGCGTCTTGTTTACACGATGTTTTCAGAAAGGCACGCATAATGACCCCGCGCTACCCGCCCGTCCACACCACCTTCCCCCCAAGGCTATCCCCCCATAACGGAACTACGGGTGATGAAGACTCCTTCATTGGACAAGTGAATTGTGACTTTCTATGCGTAGTGGAACACTGGCTTCAACCTGCCCATAGAGCACATATTATTCCCAGAACGATCTCAGAATGTTCTGAATGTGCTCTGATTGTGCTGGCACTGAGTGGCACAATCATAATATTTTCAGATCGTTCTATGTATATTCACATTGAATATTCCTTTGGAATGTCCTGCTAGAATGCTCCCAGAATATTCTGTTTTGATTTTGAAGAGAATATTCTGCAGTACTTAGTTGAGGATATTCTAGAAATGTTCTGGGAATATTCCTCAGAAACTACAGCAGCGCTTATTACGGGCAACTCATGAATTAAAGAAGTCATTTTGATTTTGTTTAGTGTCACTCGTCAGTGACTAGTGTAGTGGGTGAGTTTGTTTGTTGTTGTTTTGTAATGGATGGACGCCATTTGTTAACGTGCATCAAGTTACAGTTCCTAAATATGTAGTTGGTTGTATAATGTTAAAACAGCAGGAAAATGAATTATGGTAAGTAAAACAATAAGCATTAGCTGTTATTATGCTATTGTATTACATTTACCTACTTAGTTAGTAGCTTTTAAGTAAAATTGTATTGCTATAAGTTATTTTCACACAGTTAGGACCACCGACATTTCCCAAAAACATTGCAAAAGGTTGAATCTTATAATTATATAAAAACGTTGTCCAGGCTGTGTGGTAAAAGGCACGTACAAAATAAGTTATTAAAATAATTCCCGGTTCTTAAACCAAGCGGATGGTGAGTCTGAATTTTACAATACCTTGTGTGGCCTTCATCTTGTAAATATTTTTGCACGTAGCGTATATAAAAATGGTGGGGTAGCAATTTTTGCTGCAAACTCTTTCAAATGTAATAAGATATCTCTTGACAATTTTGGTATTGAAATGCTCTTTGAAGTCACTGCAGTGGAAGTAACTACTGATATTAACACAATATTAATGACTGTTTACCGATCTCCTGATAGCGATTTGGATAGTTTTTTTTTAAACCAAATGGACTTGTGCCTAACATACCTATCGAAATATAAATCTAGTAAACTAATTGTGTGTGGAGACTTTAATGTACACTTGGAAAGACCTTTTCCTGATGAGGCTTCTTTTGTGAATCTTTTTCGAAGCTTTGGGCTCTATATTGCCACAAGAGAGCCAACCAGAAGCGACGCGTGTCTGGACACAGCCGCTACCAATTTTGACTCATGGGACTTGAAAGCGGAGGTTGTTCCGTCCCATGTTGGTGACCACAATGGAGCCGTGGTCCTTACATTGGGACTGACCAAAGTAAGCATAGAACCCCACTGGCTAGACTCGTAAAAGATAGTAAAAAGGAAACTAGATTTAAATAATGTACCGACCCTATGTAGTATGCTAGAGAATATTAATTGGGAGAGTATCTACACAATACCTGACGCTTCAAATGCATTTAGGATGTTTTCTGGTCTTTTCCAAGAACAATTTGACTTGGTCTTTCCAGCTAGAGAAATGGAGAAAACCGCAAACTATAAAATCTAAATCTACCAAAGTAAGTAATCCTAACAATTGGTATACCCCAGAATTAAGCAAGCTGCGTTCACTGATGGTTTTAGTTCATGATCACTACAAACTGACCCTTGACCCTGCTCTGAAAATCAAATACCTCTCACTCTATACTAAAATCAAAAAAGACTACAGTTCCAAAGCTAGGTTAGCTAAGAAAATGTCCAATGCACAGACCATCTTGATTGCTCCAAATTCATGTAAAGCCGCTGGTGCATCATCAACCAACTCAGACCATCCACTCATGTACCTCCATCATCAACCGACGACTTTAATGACTACTTTTCTGGTACAGCTGAAAATATAATCTCTGACCTACCTCTGTTACAGCCTAACTCAGTTGACTACCTCTCGGACCTAAACCCAACTGTCACCCTAAGAAATTGGAAAAAGGTGAGTGAGAAAGATCTGATTAAAATAGTACACAATTTTAAAGATTCTTTTAGTCAAGATTTAAATGGAGTTTCTAGCCATATTCTTAAATCTGTATTTAAATCTATTGCTGCCCCTCTTGCTTATTTAGTCAACAGCTGTTTGGCTGAAGGTGTTTTTCCCGAAAACCTGAAGATAGCTAAAACCATTCCTATCTACAAGAAGGGTGACCTGGCACAGCCCGCTAACTTTCGGCCAATATTAATTCTTCCTGTTTTCTCTAAGGTTCTGGAGTCAGTAATGAAACAGCAACTGGTGGCCTATTTCGAGAACAACGACCTGTTCAACGATTCCCAACATGGGTTTAAGGCCGGACGATCCACAACCTCTGCACTCCTTAGCCTAGTCAAGAACATCTCTGATGCCTTTGAATCTGACTCCGTCCATCTCAGTCTTTGTGATCTTAGCAAGGTATTCGACGTGGTCTCTCATGATATCCTTCTTTCCAAGCTTGGCAAATATGGCGTCACTGGAGTAGTCCGCAAATCATTAGTCAGCTACTTAGATTACAGGAAACAAATTATTGTTTCGCTGCAGGGCATTTCTGCTGGATGAAGCCAAAGAATGGTTCGTTTTGCATCGCCTCAGAAGCAATGACGATAAAACACAATCCATCACGTGCACCCTCAAACAGGGCATTGAAGACGAGGCGGTCAAACTTCTAGGATTCTGGATCGATTCCAAACTCAACTGGAACCTCCATGTGGAGAAAGTGTGCGTTAGGCTAAGCAGAATATTCTATCTGATCAGGAAACTTAAGCATAAGATCACACGTCCCTACCTAGTCATAAAGTACCATGCATTATTTCATAGCCACATAAATTATGGGCTAAAGACGACCCAGAGTGTGCTGTTGCTGCAGAAGAAGGCGCTAAGACTAAGACTAATAACATCTTCCGGCCCTACCAACCACTGTAGGCCTCTTTTTAAAGAGCTTGGCATTCTATCAGTTTACAGCCAGTATACGTTAAACACCCTAGTCCTTTTGAGATAAAATATAAACAACTTCTCAACCAGAAACGTGCAGCACAACTATGGGACGCGCAGAGCTTACAATTTCCCATGAATTGTACAATGGTTCAATACAATGATTCATGATATTCTTAGATCGTTCTATGTATATTCACATAGAATATTCCTTTGGAATGTCCTGCTAGAATGTTCTCAGAATATTCTAATTTGATTTTGAAGAGAATATTCTGTAGTACTTAGTTGAGGATATTCTAGGAATATCCACTCCGTGGACAGTAATCTCAGTATCCATGAGACCAGACTTATGGAATGTTCACCTGGATGCACCCCGTTCTCGACTTAGCCACACGCTTAATTCATACCCGTCTCTAGCGATAATATTATTCAATACGCTACCGACAACCATCCGGACCCTAGAACCAAAAAAGTTAGTTTACGTCTGCACTTCGCCAGAGCCTAGTCAGTAGGCCCCTCTACTCGATCAAGGATCTTATTGACGAACCACTCGCCTTTCCAAAAATCCGAGTCACATCCGTCAGTTCTGATTAAATTGTATATATATAAATTTATAGTGTTTTGTTAGTTTACTCTTTTTCGACGCAATCTATCCAACTTTTGTTGGTCAAAGATGAAGGAATCAAGTATTCAAGTAAGTATTCAAGTATTCATAGTTCATTAACCAAGCTTTCGTAAAACACAAATACCATTTTATTGGTTGCTTCTATATATAACTAAATAATATATAAATATAACTGATATTCTGGAAATCTTGACAAAATTTCCAGTAATTTGACACTTTAATCATGAAATTTTGTCAAAAATTAAAGCCAGGGTGAGCGTTTAAAAATGGGATGATTTAAGGTTTTTTTTTATATTTCCAATAAAAAAACGCCAAAACTCGACATTTTGTTACCTCGCCCTCGCCTTAATTTTGGATCAATTTTAATGATTAAAGTGTCAAATTACTGGAAATTTTGTCAAGATTTCCAGAATATCATTTATATTTCCTTTGGGCGGATAGGATTCGCCCCATTTCGCATACTAATTTACATGTATTTCTTATGGAAGGAGTATTTTAATAAGATATCAATTAAATAAGTTATAACTCGTAATCTGTTGAACCAAAATAAACACATTATATACTTTTCTTGTAGAAAATTTAATCTTCTTCAATTTTATAATTTACTATAGTATACAAAAAGTTGATAGTTTTCGAGATATAATCAAAAAACCCAAAATGCGTACCTTTCTCCCCCCCTTTTCCCCCCCTCCACCCCCTGGCTCACCACCTAGGAGTCAGGACTTTTGGCATGTTAACACCCTAAGCTCCCTGAACAAGTTTCTGAAGGAATCGCTTAGTTACCTGCTCACGCACTCTACACCTCATTCCTTGACTGGACTACATCCTCTTACCCATAAAATGGACGTACAATGAGCATAGCATTACACATAGTATAGATAAGTCAACCCTAAGCATGTAATTATTATCCAAATGCTGAATTAGTGACACAAAAGCTGAATGTTTACAGCTGTTATGTTAAGCAAATTATTTTATGCCAAAAGCTAGTTTAGAAACTTAGCGTCGGCTTCTAGACTTTTTAAAAATTAAAACTTAATTTAAAAAAAACTGGGACCCTAAACAAAAATTATGGCTTCGACATTCCCTAGTTCACAAAATTATCTTTCTTTCAACACAAAAATGATGAAAATCCGTCGAGTGGTTGATTCAGAATCGCGAAATAAAAAAAAAACACTGTTTCGTTTTAATATTATAGATTGGGTAGTTATTTGATTTTGAGACACAGATTTTAGATTTTGGAGTTGCTTCCCAGGCTGATTTCTGTATGGTAGTGTTGAAGTAATTTAATGATTCTTCCACATCATGTTCATTCCATTACGGGATTTTAAGATCAATTCTGTTATTTACAAGGGTCCTAAAGTAATCCCAGTTTGTATTCTTATTCCACAACGACGGGGATTTTTCCTTCAAGCATATACTAGTACTGTAAGTTATGATTACAGGGGAGTGGTCTGAAGAAAGATCAAGGGATGATTCGATATTCGTGTAGTTCAATTGTACACCTTTAACTACAAAAAAGTCCAGTATTTCTGGTATTTTTTTCGGTCAGTTGGCCAGTAAGTAGGTAAACCTGAAGATACACAATCCAAATTCATTTCTGTTATAGCTCTGTAAAGAGTTCTGCCTCTTGGAGTTACTAGTCTCGAGCCCCAGTGTGTGTGTTTAGCATTATAGTCCCCACCCACAATAAATGTTGGACCAAGCGTTGAGAAAAAGTCTCTAAATTGATCTCTACTTATTGCATGAGGTGGAGGACAATAGACTGCCGAGAGTGTAAGAGAGGCGTTATTGCCACATTTTACAACAATACTCGTGGCTTGTAAGAAATCATTTTGCATGTTAGGAAGCTCATAGTGTTTTAGTTTTTTGTGCACTAGTACAGCAGTTCCTCCATGAGCTCTATTATTTGGATGGTTAGTAAAGTAGACAATATAACCAGGAATTTTGAAGAAACTTTTATCAGTGAAGTGGGTTTCAGAAATGAGGCATACATCTATTTTTTGTTGAGTGATAAATAACTTAAGTTCTTGGCTGTGGTTTGCCAAGCCATTAGCATTCCAAAGTGATATTCTTAGGAGGGAGTTCATTTCAATTTGTTAATGACAGCTGTTAGTAGGTTCATGAGGGTACCTATTTGTTGGGTTTGTTGTAATATTAGCTTCTCAAATTTTTCAATAAAACAGGTAACTGTATGCTCAAGATTGTTGGAGCTAGATCGTTCACTACTCACATTTGGTGCTGATTTAGGAGTGGCAGCAGCTTGAGCATAGGTTTGATGTGTAACATCAGGTTTATCAGCAGTGAAGGATCTACTTGACACTTAGGCACGAGCTGACCCAGTTGCAGTTCTCGACTCCTTCAAAAACTTTTGCGAAGGGTTGATTTTACGTTTGATTTCTTGATAATTTGCACAGCCCTTGTAGTTCGCTGGATGGTTCCCTTCACACAAAGCACACTTTGGTGGTTCAGCGACAGGTTTTGTACAAATCAAGGTATCATGGTTTTGACCACATTTCACACAGCGAAATGGATACCAGCAGTAACCCTTTGTGTGCCCATATTGTTGACACTTTTTACACTGGACAATTTCTGATCTTTTTCTTGGTGGTTCAAACACGATTTTGGCATTCAACAAATATTGAATATTATATATGTCTTTGTTATTTTGGCTAGGCTCTAAGTCCACAAAGAACAGTGAAAGTGGTGATTTAGTTTTAAAGTCCCTTATATTTGATACATTACGTACTTTATGGCCTTTTTCCTCAATTGATAATTTGATATCATCTATGTCAGTTGAGAAATGCATATTCTTCAGGACCACTCTGAAAGACCTGTCTTGTTTTACTTGAAATGTATGAAACGGAACTTTTAGCTCAGTCAATTTATGAACTAGTTTTCGATATGAGTCAATGGATAATGGACAAATTTTGACCTTATTACCGTTTATGCACCTGTAAGTGTATTCATGTCTAGGGATCACTGACTCTATCGATGTCATCATTTGTTTGATATTAGACACGTTCAGGATGAATATGGGTGGAGGTTTAATCTCCTTCTCCTTATTGTCAGAAATAACAGTTTCTTCCATGTCACTTGAGTCACTAAGAGCATCAAACATGTTTCCCGTTTGGACCACATTGTTTGAGGTCGATTGTCGAGGTTTTTCAGAATGACGGGTTTTTAGATTAACATTTCCCCTCTTATTACCCGGGACAGTTTGCCAAAAACCAACATGACGCGTGGTTACAACATTAGTATTCGATTGGACGTCACTGGTTTGAGCGGACGACAAAAAAAGTTGTTCATTCGCTGGACTTTCACGATTACAGATCACATCACCGTTTTTTGAATCACCAGTGTCAATACCATAGTCATAATCCAACATAGTATTAGCTGACTAGCAGGAACAATTCAAAGAACGAAACAAAGGTAACAAAGGTAAACACAAATCAAACAACAAATTGAAAGATTGAGGTTATGGAAACTAATACGTAAATCTTCCTTATTAAAACACAAAACTATACAGTTTTTAATGAAAGATTAATGATGATATGCCTTGACTGAGCTCCAATATTGGCTTAAAAAGTGGAGGATAAAAGTCAACGAAAACAAGTCCAAACATATTGTTTTTACTCTGAGAACAGGGTACAATCCTCCAGTAACCATTAATAATGTAGCCTTTAGTAGATATATTGACCTTTTTACTGGAAGAGTTAAATTTACAGTGACACCTTGGTGTCGTAGGACGTAGATAAAGGCAATAGTGTCCAAAATTTGGCTTATATTCATTTTAAAAAGCCATTGTGTCGGTTACAAAAACTTGAAAAGATTAACATACAAAAATTAAACATAGGTAGGATACATGTTTCTCAGTACCATTGCTCTTTATAGGCCTATATGCTCTTTTCTTCATTAACAAGACCATTTACTTGTTTAGTGTTTAGAGGTTCTAAAAATTGTATTAAATTTGTATTATGATCCAATTGGTCATTTGAGTGTAGCT